ACCAAACTGTACCTTACGACATTGGCAAAGCCATTTAATAATTCGAGCATTTCGTTCAACGATACTAGGTGGATCGTTAACTCTTTGATTAAAATCGTCATTACCCATACCAATGCTACAATTATTATTTTGCCATTGACTACCCTGATTTGCCTGATTATTTCCAATCCAAGAATAAAGACCTGACGCAGAGTCGACCGAGCTAACACTATCGAAGAATACAGGTGACGAAGATTTTGAATCGGGTTCAGTGATAAGTTGATAATTCTCTAAATCTAAACCCAAATAATCAAAGAAATTCTCCAACAGTGTCACCGAACGCGGTGCACGTGCTGATAACTTGCACGTTCTACCATTATCTTGTCTCCAATAACGATCGCTTATATCAGATTTTGATCTCAAAATTGGTCTACCACGTCCTTCCTTCCAACCATCTGAGAATCTATCATGAAAATAAATATTATTTGTTGAATCTTCAATGAACAAAATTATATAATAAATAATACATCCAGTGATGCCATTTATAACGAGAGATATAGTTCTTAATATTAGAGTGAAAGACAAAGTACCTAGAGTTACAAGTAGGACTGTAATCAGTTTGACTCTCGCTGCTTTCAGTATCAGAACTATAATGTCTCAAGACAGAAGGTGGTGTACCACTGGCATAACTGCCCTTTCTCGAACGATTTTTATCAGTCGAATGTTGGGTCGATGCACCACTGTCTCTACGTACGTGAGTCCAATAATCCTGTCGATATTAAGACGATATCATTCGTTAAAGAGAAAATTTCTTACGCTAAATAAATAAGAGTGATTGACGATGAGAAGAATATAATACCTGTAACCTTGGTGGTGGTTCACTACGATGAGTACAATGCCCAGAGGATCCACCAGAATCTCTTGCGGTAGCGCCATGGCTCAATTTACTTGAGCCAGACGATTTCTGTGTTCTGCCACCGGATGATAGAACACTACTGGCATCCCCACCGCCAGAGCCAAACGAACGTCTGATGTGACGCGTACTGAAGGACGTTCGATAATAAACATTTTTTCAATACAATACGTTTTCTTTCTCAATACGTTTTCTTTCTTCCCTCTTCTCAAGCAATCAATAAAAAGGATTGATCCCAATAATATAATACCTGCGATAATAGACAGCATCACGTTTGAAACTATGTTCGGAATAATCCGAACTAGTCTCGCAATCTGGACAATTGTTAGCTCCATAATGATGTCCAAGTAGTTTGGCAGATGATTTTGTCGACGTACGAGGCGATAACGAAGCTCGACGATGCGTACTGGTGTGAAGATCAGGCAAAGATTTATGACAAATTGTGTTCTCTGCCGATGGAGAAGTTATGGATTTTCTGCTTGCTGGACCAGACGTATGAGAATGCGAATTACTTCGACCAAATTTGAAGCGAATGTCTGGCGGTGTACAATGCTATAGAATATAAACATTGGAATGAATAATCCCCAATATATTTAATATATCTGTTATTTCTCAATTAATAATTAATATGATGTATTCTTGAAATCTTCTTTACCAACGCACGGTCATCGTCTCGGCAGCCAGGCGATAAGCTGCCAGGTGAATATTTGAACTTTTCCTCGCGGGTGACAACACCGTTCGTCGTTTGAAGGCATCCCTGAGTTGGGCTTTCCGGAAAGAAGACGTTCTCCTTGCTATCGGTGTTGAGTAATCTCCGTAATTTTGTCTGCAATTGATCCCCGCTCGTAACACTCGGTGGCCCTGAAATAGTGCGCCGCTGCGGAAGAGGGACTAAGCGTGGGCTCTTTGGTGGCAGCGCGGGTGGCAGTGTTTGTTGAGGACTCAAAATCCCATCTGCTGATAAATACAATCGAGGATAAGCTATTATTATGATTGTAGTATATGTAGCATAACAAGAAATACGATCATGATTTATCATTTCAATAGGATCAATAGTGATTCTTCTTCTTCTTCATCTCCAAACTTGTTAATAAATACTTCATCGTTGATCGATCAGATCTACATGGATACAACAAAGAAATATTATTTGTAAATAGGATACTTCAACGGCCGATTTTGATACATATAATACACGATTATTGGCCAATTAAACGAAGAACAAATCGATCAGAAGTTCAGAATCGATAGATCTCCTAAGTATTTGGATAAAGAAGGAGGAAAAATATTTTATACTTCTATCTTGATCATGACACGTGGCCCAACAACAGGGTGGCGTTACAGGATTAGATATTTGTGACGGCGAGGGTGATTGTATCGAGCACGGTACAGCTGTATTTCCACACTTCCTAAGTAACCTAGGTGGTGCACTAGATGCACTTAGTTGAGATACTTGAAGATGCCCGCTATTCTTGAGTTCCTGTTTCCGATCCAGCACGGTCTCGCTTTTCACGTAAAATGCTTTCGTCTCTTGCAATAATTCCACTGCACTCTTACGTTTTCCTACGAACAATAATTATCATCGTCATTAGTTTCTTAAGTAATTTCATTTCCGTTCGTCATAAACTAGAAAAAGTAGGACAACGATTCGACGAAACAACGGACATTGCTTATCCTGATAATGAAAAGGAACGATTTCTAACATGTTCATATTGTACATATAATAATAACAATAATAATAATAATAATAATAATAATAATAAAGTGTTTCATTCGAAAGAACATAAGAATTGGCAAAAGAACGAGTTATAAGATTTCGGGATAAGGGCAACGACAGCCAGTTTGTTCGTATTTTCATAAGGCCATTGCAATATTCATCAAAAGAGACTTTTACAAAAGAATCTTTAGCATGGTGAAATACAATAGTAGTTTTAACATTAAGAATACTAGATTTCGAGCCAAGTATACGTGTGTATATGTATATATGCGCGTGTGTATATATATATATATATATATATATATATATATATATATATATACCGGTCGTTTGAGAAAAACGAGAATGAGAATATACCAAAGACTTCCATTTCTCTGGTAAGAAGAACATTTTCGTTTGGATTTGAAAGAACGGACGACGAAGGTGCCGCCTGGTTTTGATTATCCTAGAAATACACCCTTCTTCCCTTTGCGTTTATATATTTACAAGTGGAATATGTCGAAAGTTTCTTTTTTTTTTTACTATTACTGCCGTTGCTGTTGCTACCGCAAACCAGAGACATGGGGCTTTCACTCGAGTATAGAAACATTTTCATTCATCGTGTCCACATATAGACATATATACGTACGTATATATACATTCATAAAAATATAATTATAACAATTTTTCTTCTTTATATATTTGAATCAACTACCTGTGTGATCAACGTGCCGATGATGATTTCTAACGTAAGGTGGTGTTGGATCCCTAGCTTGAATATCCCAATACGAATTACGACTATTTCCAAAATTATTCACTCTTTGCTGTTGCGAAGGCGAGGATTGCTTACAGGGCAACCTGGCCATGGCGATCATCATCTTTCCTATTCGACGCGCTGTAAATCGATTACGTTAGCGGTCCTCGTCTTATTCTGATACGTCGTCGCTTCGACCCCATTTTTTGCCGATCTTCCGCACTCTGCAACACATATAATCGATCCATTAATCAGGAATACAATTAATTATTAAAGATATCAAAATATTTGCTATACTTTAACAATTATTAGGAACAAAATGCCGTCCATTATTCTCAGGCTTGTAACACATTAAGTTTTTCTCTCTCTCTCTCTCTCTCTCTTTCTCTTATATTCTGAAAGAATATTTTTCCCAGCATAATATTATCCTACTCTATGCCGCTCATCATGGTCTCTATCATTTCCAAGAAGACCATTGCGACACTCGTGAGGCCGAATATTTCCAATGGAAACTAGGATTCTGTCTTTTTATGTATCCAACCGTCACAGATTGTTTTATGAAAAATAACGAACGATAACGATGAATTGAATTCAAGGGGAAAGGTCATCGAGTTAGCCATTATTTGAAATATCGGATATATTTGGATGAATAGACACAGAAAAGAGAGGAAGGGAGGGGAGGAGGAAGAGAGAGAGGACTGAAGTGACATCAAGAGAGTAAAAGTAAACGCATTTATGAACAACGAATGATCGACATTTATGTGACAACAACTTGTCAAAAAAATCATCAACGGTTTAATTATTATATCATATTGATAAAAAGGTTAAAATGTGTGAAATGTTATCTCATTGATTCGTTTCTCATTGAACCTTAAAAAAAGAATTAGTTCAAACAAAATGTTACCTTCAGAAAAATATATTCAATTTGATAAGAAACGATTTGATATATTTTGATGGGGCTATAAATTTAGTTTCCTTTCGATTAATTCGTATCCCGTTAAAAAAATCTTCGAGAATTTAAAAAGGATGATGAGGCTGGATATTGCAGGATCACCTTGACCTTGGTACACAAAGAGGTAGCACACGTGCCGTTTTACGATATCGACTTGCTGTCAGAGAGTTCCGGTTTGTAGCGCCCGCGACCGGACACATTAGGAGGACTCCCACGGTTGGGACTCTCGAGTTTTGTCGAAGCTTTGCCACCGAATGTGGAAGAGACAAGCGCAGAGAAGTGCTTTTCATTCATCACACGCTTCTTCTTCTTTTCACTTTCAGACTTTGTTCTTTTCTTTTCTTTTTTCTTCTTTCTTCCTTACTTTTCTATCGCGTGTAATCCCCTTTTAATCATACTTTTCTTACTCGCATGATCTTCGATAAATGAATTTCGTTCCTAATTCCTTTCCCTTTCGAAAGAAACTTACTTTCATTCTGAAATTAACCAATAAGCTGTTAAGGATTCAAATTTATACGAAAAATTAAGTGACGTAATCGTTTCAGCCAATAACGATTCAGGATACAACTATCGCCATTATTAAACTTGAAGAATAGCCAATCACAATAAAGAGTAATAACAAAATTGCAATATTTGAATTTTTTATGTGATTATAATAAATCGAATATGGATTTAATATAGAAGTAATTACCAAGTTGAAACGATGAACCAATTGAAATAATTATACTATAAGGAATATAAATTTATGTAAACGTATGAAATAAATTTCATAATTCAGATCATCTGTCTCTTAGAAAATTTGTTTCTTAAAGATTTCTCTAATAGACCATCTTTCAAACTCGATACAAAAGTTGATAAAACACGTTACCATGACGTAGGTATTTGACGTATCTATTGTTCGTACATAAATCGGAATAATACAGAGACGAGACAATCTATCTTACTACTTTCCTGAGCATCTCCTTTCGACGGACGACGAATCGCTATTTCTACAATGCGTTTGACATTGAATCCGCGTATCGTGCCGTTATACCGTGAACAAAGAGAGAAGAAAAATCTTGCAACGTTGAATAGGGGATTCCTCGCGAAAGATTTCGTGATACATAATGTGCAAACTAAACACTGACATTTTAACAAAGCTGAAATTGGTGTAACTGGGTCTCCAAGGAAAATAACAAAACGAAAGAAAATATTCTTTTAAAAAAGACAATATAAGCCATTAGATGGTTTATAACGATTTCGAAAAATCGTTGAATTATTTTAATTATAGTCGCATTTTCAAATGACCTTAATTTTAAACGTATAAATAAAAACCAAGTAAACGTTCAATGACGTAAGAGAATTATGTTATATTCGATACGCTTTACATCTTCTCCGGCAGGAAAGCGAGGGGGTGAATATAAACTCTCGCTGGATGAGCTAGGAAAAGGCCAGGCGTGAAAAACGGATATCGAAAATGTCACGGTCTCCTTTTTTTTCTCTGAACGACCTTGACTATAGGGGGGCTTCCGGCGCTTCCAGGATGTCTGGGACGATGCTATGAATAGAGGAAGAAATGATATTTTCCAAGTGTCTCGATCAACGAACAGTATTACGTTCGTTAAAAATGAAGCTTGAAAAGTAGACCAATCGGAACACATATTGTGCTCGTATCTCGACTATTTCAAACGCCATTTTGTCTTTTCCAACGCGAATTACGTGCAAAAGGATTTTGTGAAATAAGACCTTGCACCAACATAATTTGATATAAAGCGATATTAAAACGAAATTACGTTTTCAAGAGACATCGCAAAGAAGAGGAAACAAATAAATGGAGAGAGATGCTATACAACACTCGACAAGACTATCCCGAGTCAAGCGGTTATCATTTCTGTCAAAGATAAAAGATACGAAGAGGGCAAAACAGAGAATAAAAACTGGCCAATGAGAAAGTCTCTCTCTCTCTTTTTTTTTTTTTTTTTTTTTCTTTTTTTTTTTCTTTTTTTTTCCTTTCTTTTTCATCTACAGCTTTAGGCCTTAACGCATAAATCGTATAAGAATCCTGGTATAATCGATGCTCGAATACAAGGTGAAACGAAGCGGAATGCCGTTTGTGAATAAAAAAGAAAAATGTATTATAACCGGAAATAAAATTCTTCCGCGTACATTACTCTTTTCATATTAATGTCACTTTAATATTATAATATACATTTTTACCTACAAACTGAACGAAACTTCGAATTTAAGCTTGAAACTAAAGAAACGCAAATAAAATTGTAAAAAAGAAATATCCGTTTGTCGGATGAACGGGCGAATTAGGCGTCTAACTAATTAGGCATTTATTAAATATTAATTTGGGCATTTGTAAAATTGTTCAGACAGCTGTTGAGCGACGATTGTTCTCAGTCATAAGGAACGTTATAAGACTTTAATTTGCAAAGTCACGCGTCGATGGAGTCATCTGTTCGACGAATGAAACGAAACGAATGCATTCGTGAATTCACCGTCCAAGTGAGAATTCTTCTTAGGAAATAAAATTGATGTAGAAAAAATTTTCAAATTACAAATCTCCCGCGATATATTAAAAAAATATATAAAAATATATTAAAAAAAAAAATATACATATATATATATATATATATGTATATATATATATATCCTATTTGGATCCTATTCTTGAAATATATTCTGTTCATCGATTATAAGTTTATAGTACGTCGTTTCGATCGACGTACATCAACCCCAGAGATGTTAAGTAAGTCGTGCTGAGACGTACGAGTTGACCTGTACGCGAAACACGACTGCGATGGCAACGAAAGGGATGGAGGGTGTAAACGTATGTTTATGGTTCATTGATCGAAGGGCAACAAAGCTTTCCTACTTTGCTTCTACACATTTCTTATTATGATGGATTCTAAAGCCGAGCTTTCCTATCAACCACCACCTTTTAAAATCGGCTCTTTTATCTCAAATATACTTATGCGTAACATTAAATTACAATAAATATGTTAATAATAATTAAATAATAAATTCAATGTCATAATTCAGTATAATTCGCATACAGTATACTTTACTACTTAGATATAGTAAAGTTAAACGATAGATACTCCCGAGCAATATAAATCAACATAAAATTGAGATAACAACAATAACACGGTGAACGATAATTAAGTTCTAATCTCAAACTTTCTTTTTTGACAGATTAATTAATCGATCAAATATATACCAATAAATAAAAATTAACTTCTTTATGAAAATACTACATATTGAAAATTTCTATACGCACGCAAATACAAACGTATATAGGAGGAACGTGTCGCTTACGGAATGTTTCGACCTTGAATCTAACTAGATAGACAAAATCAATGAAGAAAACAGGAAGTATCGTTGAACGCAAACGAAACTTTATATATTATGTTACTATTTAAACTTATAATTAATATATATTTGTAATGTTGGATTATATTGTTTGGAAAAAATATCTTAAAGTGGCATCTCTTTCAAATTGCTTTTTTACTACCACTTCGTTTAAAGTTTCATTATACTCGAATCAATTGCAACCAATTGAGATCAATCTCGACGTAACGAATACGCATATTCATACTTAATTGAAGAGTAATGTTTCGTATTTCTAAATACGAAGATCTTACACGTACTTGGTTTTATCAATTAAAATATAGAACGAACAATTTCATTAATAATATACTTGAATACCATTTAACAGTTCTATCATTTCAATCCTAATTACTGGAGGGAGGGGGGGGGGGGGGAGAAAAAAAAGAAAAAAGAAAAGAAAAAAAAAAGGGAAAAGGAAAAATAGATTAACAAATTCGATAAATCAAAATTGGCGCCATTGTTACGTTCGCAATCTAATAGAGATTATCGATAAATGATTATAATAATAATAATAACAACAAGAATAACAAAAATAATAATAACAATACGATAATACTAATAATAATACTACTACTACTACTACTACTACTACTACTACTACTACTACTACTACTAATAATAATAATAATAATAATAATAATAATAGTAATAATAATAATAATAATAAGACAGTTGCGCCCTTAAAAAGGCGATAAGATGAGAAAATTGGAAATAATCCTATAAAAGGCACCATAGAAATATGGTAAAACATTAGCAACGATAAAATAACCTTTACTTACGAAGGATGTTGCAGCGTCAGCATTCCCTCCACAGCAAAAAAGGGCCCACAAGTGTACGCATTTGCGTGAGGACGAATACGAAAGAGAACCAAAGGAACACTGATTTTACATCTCAAACGATATATATACATTTGTATGAGATAGTAGACCGTTAAACACGGCAGATAGAACTCCTGCTTCAATCGTGGTGCGCGCGCGTGTGTGTCTGTGTCTGTGTGTGTGTGTGTGTGTGTGTAGATGTGTTGACTTCTCTAACGAGAAAAATGAATATTATAATACTATTATCGTACCGAGACTGAGATAATCACTCTCTCACGTTAATACCACAAACTATTACGTTTGACATAATTTACTTGATGAACCTGCGTCTAATTTTACCGGACGTAGGATAATAACGAACAAGCTAATGTATCGAAAACGATGCAAATAGGAAGTTGATGGGGGAGGGGAAGTGAAGGAACTGAATGACAATAACAATGCTACTTAACGATCATCACATTCACGAATGACTGGCCAGACTGATCTGATCTGGATTACGTTCTCGAACGAATCCCCCCACCCCCCGCACTACCGTGGAATCCTCGCGCATGCGCAATTACGACAAAGCTTCTCATTGGTTATACACGCACAGGAGCGTGTATACTCGATCAAAGAAGCGGTAGTTCGTGCGCCCTTGTAAATCTTCCATATGAAATTAATTTGTACAATACTCTTTAGAGATAATAGGATATTAATATTCAATTATTAATCGTTATTATATTATTTATGGTTAATTAGGAAAAAAATGTTTGATTAATTTTGGAGAATAAAATTTACAATGAAATATCAAGGATTTATACAAAATCTGTGATTGGTAGATTTCGGACGAATAATAAAAGCTATTTCTTTTCTGACTGTCGTCACATTAGTTCTTTCTATATTAGACATATCTATAGACCTGCTTATGCGATAGCATATTTCTTTAAATATATTTCTTAATTATCACCTGTCCGATCATTTCGTTAACAAACGAAATTATTAAAGCTACTATTAATAATTGATATTATTTATATTTGAAGTAAAAGGAGAAAAAGTTGTATAAGACAAAATGGATAGTGATACTCCTTTGATATATGGACTTGAATTTCAAGTATGCTTTCCTAATAATGTCCCTTAATAATTTAATCTTTCAATATGTATTAGTAATTTATAATTATTTATATTATAGACTAGAGCACTATCAGCACAGACTGCAGAAACTGATATCGTTAGATTTCTAGTAGGAACTCAATCGTTAAAATTTACTAACAATCAAGTACATTTAGTTGAACTTAACGAAGAGACCAATGGTTTAAACACACAGATATTTCAACATCCGATAGGTGAAATATGGTCGTTGCAAGCATCGCCGACTGAACCTTCTTTATTTATTACATGTTACAACAGTTTAAATGGTATTTTCTTGAATTAGCTTGATCTACCTACGTAGAAACGTAAAATGAACATCGAATATATTTTTTCAATTGAAAAATTGTTTAGATGAAGGAACATGCCAAATGAAAGGAGCCCTTTGGAAATTACCTGAAATTAAAGAATATACGAATGACAGTATACAGTTGGATATGCTAGCTGAAATTGACACAACAAAATATGGTACTGACTTGAAAACTATTGCATATCATCCTATGGACGGTGCAAAAGCTATATCGGTTGTAGACAATCGCTTTGCTCTGTGGGACCTGGCTAATAGTAAACCGCAAGTAAATATAAATATTCATTGCATTTACAAATTGCATAAACTTTCACAATCTTAGTCATATAATATAGGTCATAGTATCAGGTATATTGTCTGGGAAAAATCTACCACGTTTCACAACTGGTAAATGGAATCCTCACAACGGGTGCAATCAATTTGTAACGCTAGATGAAAATAATATTCAAGGTTGGGATTTAAGAGCCCCGTCTGATCCTTCGTGGATAATTTCGTCTGCGCATTCGCAGATAATTAGGTAAACATATAAATAAAAAAAAAAAAAAAAAAAAAAAAAAAAAAAAAAAAAAAAAAAAAAAAAAAAAAAAAAAAAAAAACGAAAGAATAACGTTTCCTTCTTTTATATATGTCAAAATAATAATGGATAAAAATATTTTATCATAGAGATTTAGACTTCAACGTGAATCGGCAATACTTCTTGTCTACCTGTGGTGATGATGGATATATGAAATTCTGGGATATACGAGTACCAAATGAGCCTGTCTTATCGCGTATGGAACATTCTCATTGGGTTTGGAATATAAGAATCAATCGTTTTCACGATCAATTGGTTTTAACATCTAGCAGCGATTCTAGAGTTATTTTATATAGCATCGTATCTATTTCTTCCGAACCATACGGGCATATAGTTTCACCTGAGGATGATAACGGACAAGCTGATGAAATGTGTCAAAAAGATAAGTATGTAATATTTTTACCTTATACTTTATCTAATAATATATAATATTAAATTTTAATTATAATTAAATAAATATTTTAGATTAGAAGACGGAGTTGTCGAGAGGTATGAAGAACACGAGGATAGTGTATATGCAGTAGAATGGTCCTCTGCCGATCCTTGGACATTCGCTTCGTTGAGTTATGACGGTAGATTAGTAATTAATAAAGTCCCACGCAAATACAAATATCGAATAATTCTCTAAATTATATGTAATATTTATTAGATGGCTTAAAAACATTTTTAAATTTTATATTTAATTGATATCATTATAATAATATTAGCAAAATTATATCTAATATCTATTTGTATATAATTTATATTTGCATATAAATACAAAGAAAACTTTTTATGAATTTTCTATTATTATTATATTACAATCGTTCCGATATCCTACTAGCAATATTCCTTAAATGGCCATAAACTTTAGATGGCGGACTTCCTAAAATCAAATTACAAATAGCTCTGCGAGCCAATTGTATATTTTGAAAGGAACCAAGAATGTGAATTTTACTATCGGCTAAGACTATTCTTGTTTTTGTTACATTTTCTATAGTGAATTTTGTTCTCCCTCCTTTCCCTGCTAATCTTCCTATAGCTCTAGATAAATGATCGCTTTTTAACGGTTTTACATCCTGAACCTCAAACGTCTCTACAAATAAATCATCTAAACGTAATAGAGCTAATGCATCCTCTACTTCGAAACCATATATGAAAGCTTTCACAAAATCTGCACCTTTTTGAAGATTAGAAATATCTGCAGTTTCAGGAGCAGTACGGATCTCTACATTTCTTGTTTTCAGATTAAAACGTATCTGTAGTTGTAAATGTTCAACAATAGGAGTAAATATCTTCATCCAATTATCCTTAAGCGGGGTATATCTATGGGCAGGTACGGGTATCTACAAAATATCTACCATTTAAATACTTTCTTAAAATTAATTCATATCATTAATAATACATTATCAAAATGTACCTTTCGAAATTCACCACGTCGTACTATTCTGGCTCTTTTTGTACGCGATGCAGACTTAATCTTTCCCTCAATGCCATTCATTACTTCGACCTATTAAATGATATTAAATAATAAATTAATGTTAAAGCAATAAATGAAGGAAATATTGTAAGATAAAAATGAGAATATTAAGAAATAAATGAAAGACAATGAACACGATAGAATATAACCTCTTTTACATACTTCCATATCATTATCCTCCGCTTCTCGTTTCTTTCCTTTCTTATCTGCGTTTGCCATATCGAAGTATTTCTTTTTTCTTTCTTTTATACGTCAACGTAAAATTATAACCTTTCGAAACTGTATATAAATGGATTTATATTAAAAAGCACATATTTGATATTGTAACGCCAACTTTGTAACAATCCATGTGCTTCTAAATTGATACACGGCCGCCATGTTTCATTAACAATCTATAAAATCTCGATGCTAATTGGCTACTCTTCATAACGCAAATAAATAATTATTCGACGTTCATTAATTACTCGTTTTCATCAAATTAACATCATAATCTGATTAATAACTTCGTTCTCAATTATTTTATAGCAAAAATCATTAATATGTGCGAGTAATGTTTGTACGTAATAAGGATATTACCAGCCAATGATATTTCTTTAGAAATAAATAATCAACCAATCACAGCAGTTCTCACATTGCTGGTACCACACACTCCACACATACACACAGTAAATTAAACAGATTCCTAATTATTTATTATTTCATAATAAGACAATTGTTCATTATTATATAATAACTTTCGATTATATTTTAGCGTGTTAATGGTTGTATACGTTAATACATTTCGAAAATATTACTTTATTCATTAAACTTAATTTAAACATTATACTTAATAACACATTGCAGACCATAATTAAACTGACAGGTTGGATTAAATGATTTCTTAAAGAAATGTAGTGAACATATTTTCAATTGAATATTTAATTATTATTATTATTAATTAATGAGATTAAAAAATCGAAGCTAGATAAGAATTAAATTTGAAGAGAAACGCTGGCGATCGATCGTGTCCATTAATTAATATCCGATCTTTTCTATCGAATCGAAAAATACGTGAATCGTATCTTTTCTAAACTGTAGTAGGATACTAATTTATTCTGGAACTTAAGATTTTTTTACAAAAACATCGTTGTTTGTATCCTACGAAATTTCATTATGCAAAAAAAAAAAATAAACATTTGTTTTACGCAAGAAATAGATCAACATTTGATAATTTACACCAGGAATTTTCACGTTTGCAGAGAGATTTTCTTCTTTATTCAATGGTATAAATAAAATTCAATACGACAGTTAAACATATGTATTAACGGTACGACTTCTGGTACCGTGCTCTGGCTCCCGGACCACCAAACTTTTTTGGTTCGCATCTCCTTGGATCTGCGACTAGAAGAGTACGATCGTATTGTATTAGAATATCTTTCACTTCCTTCTTACTTGCTTCGTCGACATCTGCAATGCAATATATACGAATATTGTGAAATAATACATAGATAAATGAAAATAAAAGATATAGTTAAGCATATAATTCACTTACATTTCTGATAATAAGCTACAAGAGCTTTCGAAATAGCTTGACGAATGGCATAAACTTGTGCCACATGACCACCTCCATTTACTCTAACTCTAATATCTACACCAGCAAATTTCTCCTAGAAAGTTACAAGTATGCATTAACGCAATTGTAATTCGCACGCGAGAATCACTTTGTAATAATCTCACAATTCTTTCAACTATCAGAATAATTGAACATTATTGAATAAAGTCAAAATTCAGAAGTATCCAACGTTTTTTAACTTTAATTTATAATTAGGCATTCGGTCTAATATCAATCTATCATTACAATGGACAAATATCGAACTTGTTTATTACCTTTCCAAGGAGCAAAATAGGTTCTTGTAATTTGTATTGCAAAACACGCGGTTCAACCAGTTCCAATGGTCTTCCATTTACCCGAAGATTTCCACGGCCTCGTTTGCAATATGCAACTGCAGTTGCACTTTTCTATAAATGAAAAATATTTATTAATAATAGTTTATAACAAACATATTATGGCGCGTTACCTTGCGTCCGAAGACTTGCACAGAATGGATCGGTTCTTTTTGTTTCTATGAAGAAATCAGTATATAATATGTTTTTATTATTTTCATAGAAAATTATTTAAATATTGTTGATCAAATTTATCAAGAAATTTAAATAACTCACCTTCTGCATTATGTCAAGCACGTGTACTTTCTTGGCAAAGAACTACGTGAAAGAAAGTAGATCCGTTAGCTGTGAAGCGGCTTGTCCCTATGAGTCACTACGTTAGTCAAAAGTATAAATAATAATAATGATGAAAATAATAATAATAATAATAATAATAATAATAATAATAATAATAATAATAATAATAATAATAATAATAATAATAATATCGTAATTAAAATAAAACACACACGCGCGCGCGTGTCACAATTTAAATATGTTTTATATTCATAGCTGGCTGTGTTATAAATTTACTTCATCAATGATTAAATATAATATTGTTTGAATTTCGCGCCTGAAACTTTCAATTATCGTCACAGTGTGGCGCTTATGTCGACCTTGTATAGACGTAATGTTTTTATAGCGCTTCATATTTTTGAAAATTATTTAAATTGATAATTTCGTTTTTGATGGAATAGCGCAATAAACAAAGTTAATATTTAAACAATAATTCGTTATATCTTCTTGTGCTCGATATCGTTTGATTAAATAAAATATATGAATGTTTCATATATTTCATTGAAAGATAAAAGTGAGAGTAGCGGTGTTGATGAAGTAAATTGCAACTGTTTAATTTTAACTTTCTAATTCAATTAAAAAAGCATTACTATAATGTCTCCAGCGAGATTAACTAGAAATAATGAAAATGAATTTGAATATCCAAGGGCGAAAAAAAGAAAGACTAGTATTCACGACAGAAATGTTAATGGCTCGATAGTAAGGTTAGAATGTAATAACAATACCAGCTTACACGCATTTGATACATCTTTTTTGAATGATTTTAATTCAATAAATTCATCCAAAAGTCCTGAGATATTAATGGAAAATGATATGATAATAAAAGCAGAAATATTAGATTCTATTACTATTAAAAATGAAAATGAAGAAATCGATTCAATCGAATCAAAAGATAATAAATGTGAGATATCTGAAAGAATCATTAAACCTACGAGTAAAATGACCTCTCCTACGAAAGCTAAACGAAACAAAAGGATTAATGATGTCTTAATCGAGGAAGAAAAAAATATTATGAAAGAGTCACGAGATATAGGAGAAAGTGTAGAAATATCGGACGATGATAAGGAGGTTAGTATTATCAATAGTACTTTTTTGAAAATAACATTTAGAATTGTTCCATTTTGATATCGTTAGAAATTAGAAAATTTACATGTTAAATTGATGCACGAAGTACTACCTCAACATAAAATTGAAAGTAATGCCGGATGTCGTGGACCAAAGGATCATGAAAAAAAATTATTTGAAAAGTATGGACCGCTTCGTAAAGGTACTTACTCCTTGCAAGAAGATGAAATTATCAAAAAAAATTGGAAAATGTTTTGCAAAGTATGTTTCTTTTGTTACAAATAATTATTAGAGTTTTCCGATAAAGGAAGGTTCAATCGTTTATCAAATTTCTACAGGTTCACAATTGGAAGGAAGATAATGTAAAACCATTCCTGTCGTTAAAACATAATGGTAAATATTATATACGCAGTTTTGAGGAACGACAAAAATTTGTTCAATTTTTAGCTAATGGATTATCATGGAGAACTTTGTATAGTGTATATTGGCGGTTCAAAAATTTATATCACAATCGTATCTGTCAAAGGTATAAAAATATGTTTTGTAATTGACAAACTCTGTAAATTAATAATTGTAAAAGTAATAAATGTATATTTCAGATATAGTCCTGAAGAGGACGAAAAGATTATAACTTATGTAGAGAAGAAAAAGAATAATCTTAATAAGCATAAAGTTTTTTCTGATTTATCTAGAATATTGAATCGTTCTAAGCAATCAATCTGGATGCATTATGAGTTTATTATAAAAAAGCGCAACGTCGAGGAGGAGAGTATGTATATTTTTTTTTTCCTTTTCGTTAACAAAAGTAACCCGAATGTAATTAAATATTTTATTATGTTCTTATCATTTAACGTCTATAGATATTTATGTACTGAAACCAGTGTGGACATTATCATTAATTAAAAGATATATTAAAAAATTAGTTCGATTAACGTTATGCGACGATATACAAGAATTGAAAAATGCTATTATCCCAAAGGTAGTTTGGAAAGAGTTAGAAAAGAAATTAAATATAGATCATAAAACGCTGAAAAACTTTTGGGTACTACAATTGCATATGCAACTATTTTGTCCAAATATCATTTATATGAATGATGTTAAAATACAATTGATAGAGTAGTAAGTAATTATGAAAAATGGTCTCTATGCGATAATACAAAAAAATTATTTAAATGTACTTTATGTATGTAATATTATTTCGTTATAGTATGTTTGAGAAAGGAATAGCGGATAGTAGAGAAATAGTATGGTCAAATCTTGTTAAGTACTTCGATGGAATGACTTCTTCGTTTCTAAATAAAACATTTGTCTATCTCATGAAGGAATTTGACGTGAAAAAATATAGAAGGAAAAGTTTTTTGGGTAATCGACAATCGCATATATTACGCGTACATCATTAAGATCTGTCTGGGATATTAATTTAATGAAATTATTTATAACTTTTTTTCAGACGCTATAGAATATTTGTATGAAAAAAAAATATCGGAAATAAAAAACCATAAATTGGATAGATATTTACCTAGAATTCAATATACTAATGGAAATATAGAGATTATTACTGAAGAGAAAATGAATAAACTAGGAGAAAGATGAACGAAGTAACAAATAAATGACTAATAAATAAGATAAATTTTTTATCTAATTTTTCAAATTAAGTAATGCGCATAGTAAAGTAATAATAAATTTAATTGTACATATATTGGGTTGTAACGCATAAATGAATTCAATTGTATTCGATTATAACGCCGCGTCTATACTATAACAAATTTAATTGTGTTACAACCTAATACATACATCAATTTACAATACACACAATCGACCATTTTTGGTAATGACAATATGTTTTGTAGAAGCTAAAAATATGAAATTTATTTTAGAAAATGTGACGATACATTAATCTGTCTCATACCAATTATACGTACATAATCTATTCTTTCTTTTCTTTTTTTTTTTTTTTCTTTTTTTTTTTTTTCCTTTCTTTTCTTTTTTTTTTACACAAGCTCATATTGAAATATAATAATACTTTATGTCTTGCTTTTTTTAGATTCTTTCTCAAGCGCCTTTTCCTTTGCCCTTTGATAAAGAGGAATAAGTTTTCCTTCTTTGGCAAGTATTTTAAGTAATTCCATGATAAGAGGAAGGTAGTTGTGTTTTCTTCGTATATTTTCTATTTGATATCGTTTTGATTTTCTTATTTCTTCTTCGATCAATGCCTGTAAACGTTCTAATTCTGCAGGATCACAAACATTTGTTTTTTGACGTTCATAAAGAGTCTTTCTGTCAGTTACTATAGCCATCAAATTGAAATGTATTTCTCCCTCGTTATACCTTTATATAAAAATTTCATTAGAATTCCTATTACAGGTATAATATTTAAAAATTAAGAATTATAAAACTTACTTATTTATACATTTCTGAATGATAGGTTTGGCTGCTTGAACCCACTGATCGCCAACCGGACACGGTCCTAAATCCATAGGTCCATCCTTTAATCCATCAAGTTCATATAATCTACCATCGATTGGCACATAACTCACAAAGTGGAATACGTCGTCGTCTTTGGATGCTTGCTTAGTATCGTACTCGAATAAAGTTTGTCTAGAAATATTTAAAATAAATGAATATATAAGAATGCTTGATCTCAATGCTGCTTGAAGAAAAAAAATTATTAATTTTACCTAGAAAAGGAATTGTGAACTTCTCTGATAACATCGGAATTACTTAAAGCAAGACCACGCATATTTGCATCAAAACTCTGACAAAAGTTTTTAAACTCTTCCAAATTAGGACCCAATGATATATCCGAGTGTTTACAATTTAACAGTACACTCAGTATTGCCTGTGTTGCGCAAGCATTATTTATAACCTATAAATTTGAGTTTTGAGTTAGAAAAAAAAAAATTATATAACCTTGGAACATTATTTGACAAATAGATCATATCATACATATTTTTATATAAATATATAACATTATATTTCAAATATACCTGTTTTGCAAAAAAAATCTTATCTAATCTACTATCTTGCACGATACTTCCTGATGGTTCATCGTCTTGTACCCATTTAAATAGAAATATCAAACCATGAACTGGTCTGAAAAAAAAACATTTTTTTTTATTGCATACAAAATTATCGTTTGATTTATAATACTTGACATGTATTTTCAATAGATTGACATGCAGAGAAACATAGATCTTCTGTAAGATGATAAATATAAAGGCATACTTTAAATTCTCAAACTGCTCGTCGTCCAAACTCCATAATTCTTCGACTTCAGCTCCCTTAACGCCTAAAATCATACACAGGTATAATTAAATCTTATCAGCGGCACAAGTATAAATCAAATATATTCTTTTTATTTTTCTCCTCTAGTCGAAAGTGAAAGGGCAATTCAAAATGAAATTTACACAATAATTACTATTAGTACAACATATGTTGTAGTATTTTATAATTATGGAATGTAAAAGATATTGATGTTATTATTTACCAAACTCTTTAATTAATTCCGTAAAAACACCAGGATCACTTTCGATAAGACACCAATTTCCTGCAGAATCGGCCATGTTTTGAAACTCTGATTATAAATTCACCAACATCATTAATTTGCTTGTCACAACGTCCATGCCGGTAATGTAGATCTGAATAAAGTTCGTTAATACGTTAACAGATGTCTCTTCGTGTCATTTAAAAATCACGCGTACTATTTTTGACTTTGATTGCTTTTGATTAATTTAAATAAATCAAAACTATCAATAAGGATTAGATTATAAAGTTAATTATAACGTGAATCGCATAAGTTGTTTATCGCATAAATATATGTGATTATAAAGTTAAATTCGAATCACATGTTATTTATTCTCATGGTCTTGTCTCTTTGCATAACCTATACATTTTTTAAATAACGTGTTCAATTATTAAGAAAAAAAGTTTCATATGTTCATGAAGTGTTTAAACTTGTTCAAATATTGTTATGGTATAATTTTACAATGCATTTAGATTTTAGTTTAAATTCAGATACAGAGATGGAATGTAACGATGATGTATCTTACAGCACAAATATAAATCATAATTCCTCTGCCGCAGGTGCATATACATATAATATCTTATTATTATTATTATTGCAAAACCTCTAATTAACATTCATTTATTTATTTTATATCTCAAAGGCAGCAGTAGAGAATTCTTAACGTTAAATGAAAATGAAGAAGAAGATGAAACGGTAAAGGCTATAATTAGATCTAAGGAATTACAAAGAATTCATCCTCCAACGATTACATTAGACGATTTTATAGTAGATATATGTTTTCATCCTGAAAATGATATGATTGCTGTGGCCAATATCCTAGGAGATGTTATATTGTAAGTTAAAAACTATAAATAATAATGTAATATTGTATATATTTGATGATAATATATCTCAATAGATTCAAGTATACTAATGAAGAGACGAAACTCGTATCAACTATGGAATTACATCTTAAAGCTTGCAGAGACATCGAATTCAGTCACGATGGTCAAACACTTTTTTCTACAGCAAAAGATTTATCTGTAATGATTACAGACATGGAAACTGAAAAATTAATAAGATTATATGAAAATGCTCATGAGTATGTAGGTTTAAAATTAATAAGTAAGATTCCTTCCCTTTCATATACAAAAACTATTAGTTACACTAAACATAATGCATTTGGATTTTTTAGACAACCTGTATATACCATGAATATTCTTGGAGAACACGGATTTGCAACGGGCGATGATGATGGCGTTGTTAAATGTAATACTTCATAATATTTATACATTATTATACACGCATCGATTTGATATATTTCTAATTTTATTAAAATGAAAATATATATTTTTCAAAGTGTGGGATCTTAGACAGAAAGGTAATACTCCTATATTTTCAATAAAACAAATGGAGGACTATGTTAGCGCTATGATTACGAATAGCGACAATAAATATCTAGTGTGTGCTAGTGGAGATGGATCGCTTACAACAATTAATATGCCTGCAAGGAAACTGCATCTCCAGGTAATTTATCTTCTTATTATAAGCTTTTCTTTTTTAACATTACTCAATTTTAAATCAATATAGTCGGAAGAATACGAAGAAGAATTTTTATGCCTTGGTCTATTTAAATCAGAGACAAAGATTTTAGCTGCTAGTAGCAAAGGAAAAATGTATGTATTTAATTGGGGAGAATTTGGTCTACATTCGGATGAATTTCCAAGTTTAACGAAAAAAGCTCTAAACTGTCTGATTCCTATTACAGAGAATATTGTAATAACTGGCGGTGAGGACGGAATACTTAGGTAAATATTAAACTTCTCTAATAATAATAATATATATATATATATATTATAATTTAAAGAACTTGTTATTTAGATATTTAATATTGATTTGTAGAGCAACAAGTTTATTTCCACATCACCATCTTGGTGTAGTAGGTCAACATGATCTTTCTATCGAAGTGCTTGATGTTAATAGCGATGGTACATTAATAGCATCTTCTTCTCATAATGACGACATCAAATTTTGGAATGTAGAGTATTTGGAAACATTAAATACTTGTGAGCGTAAAAAGGGTGGTAAACAAAGGCAAATGATACATAATTTACCAAGTAGTAAGGTTAATAACGCATCAGATTTTTTTGCGGATCTTTGATCTTTTATGTTATTGGTAAATATTCTTTTTATTATTATTATTATTATCATTTTCTTTCATACATAAGCGTACATTTTTATATTATATTTAAAATAAATGTATATCAAATATCTGAATATCCGTTGAATATCATGAAGAATTTAAATATATTAATTTCTAAATTATTAATATATAAATTAAAAAAGGTTTGAACAATTATAAAACTGTTATTTTATCTGCAATTATACACGTTATACTGACATTTCTTCTCATTTGAATTTTAATATATTTTTAGTAGAATATAAAAAAATGAAAATATATGATTAATAAAATATAAATATATATATATTTTTTAAATATTAACGTGTATATTTAAAAATGAACGCACAAAAAAAAAAAGAGAACAGTGAAAACAATAAAATCGCATTTACTTTGTGTTCAAGATCCAAATGAGAAAATGTATACTTTGATAAAAGTTAGCCTTTGGCAGGCTCACATACACGCATATACACATTTATAATATACGGAATTTATATTTAATTAAATAACAGGTCTTACTCTGTTTACATAAATGCACAATATGCGCACAACATACATTACTGGCATAATTTACAAATGTTATCATAATCCCACAATCCAACGAATCATTGGATCGCTTTTAAATGATTTGACCTAAACATCACTTTTATTAAGTGTTCTTTATCCTAGATACCGTATAGTATTTTATAACTGCAAGACGATGCTTGTTCTAAAGGCATTAATTATTATCAACATGGGAAAGAAAGAAAATTATCCTTTTTGTACTTAAGCACAATAGTATTAATCACGATCATTTTTAGATAATATTATAGATCCAATACGGTTTTATTTATTTCATTGGAAGCATTAAATGACTCCTTCATGGAAACAATAAATTTCAGAAAAGTATCCAAAAGCTTTAATGTTTATTAATCAATTGGATATATTTTGAAATTATTTATTATATTAGAAGTAGTTTTGCAATGATCTAAAAATCCTGAATTTAAAAACTTAACGTTATGATCTCTTGGAAGTAAATCTGTCAGTCTTGAAAAAAAATTTACTATTTATTCTTGCAGATGACTCTCTTCACAGATTTACCTTTATTGATGATTCATTTGGCGTAAGTACTCAGGAGCATGATAATGTTGTTGAGCATGTGCAAGCGAAGGATGTATTGGCGGAGGAAAACAACGGACGTGTTCCACACTGGTCGCATCGCTATCTCCACTTTTTAAATACTTATTTAATACAGCAAAAATTTGAGAATTTAATACTTGGAATCTCCTTATACGATCAACCATTCTTTTTAAACGCTGTAAAAAGAAAAAAAGGATAGAAAAAGAAAACAAAGAAATGATTAAACTGAACTAGCACAAAAAGATTAAATATAAGAAAATGTTGAATAAAAATGCATACGATTCCTTTGACATTTTCATCCTTGCCATCTACACGCTGCACTCTGAGAATGTGATAGCAAAAGTCAAGAGCTTCGAACCTTCTTTGTTGGCCAAGAAGTACTATCATAGCGCATCCAGCCCAATGTAAGCCTTCGCCAAATAATTCCCTACGGGATATATATATATATATATTATATATATATTATATATTATATATATTATATATATTATATATATAATATATATTATATATATGATGATTTTGTATCATAGAAGAACTAAGAGTAAGAATTCTGTTATATTACTGACTCAACGGTAAATTCTGTATCTCCAACAGGAATGCAATATACAAATTGTAGAGCACTCCAAAGTCTATGGAATTCTGTACATTCGTCCACATTCATTACTCCATTCGCAGGTGGTGGCCCAACCCAAATAGGATCATCTAAGAAACTGCGCAATCTGCTAAGTACGATTTCAAATATTGATAAGCCACAACAAAGTCGTTCTCTCGTTAACAAGTCTCCTTCTCTAGCAATCATTGCTTGCTAGAAAAATAAATGACAAACAAAAGTTATGTACGATTTCATAATTATTAATTTATTCAGTATTATTAATTACCTTAGCAGTACCCAATTTATCTACATTAGGTACAATCTGTAACGCTGCATATTTGGCTTCAAGTCGCTTTTGTTTGGTTTCAGGTTTTTCACCCTCTGAAATTTCACCCATTAAGAGAAATTATTATATGCTTGTATTCGAATAATAAAATCATGTTATTCGAGTAAATAATTGTACCTTTACAATAAGGTCTAGGTAATATATTTTGGAATGGTGCTGCATGTAATAAATCGCAAACTTCTTCTTGTGAAAGTGCTTGCTCCATTAGAAGACAAAATAAAATGATATTACCGAATTCTCGAAAATTATGAAATAATTCTGTTTTTGCATCAGGATATTGTACGATGTCGTTTAACTGAGCATGATAATATCCCAATACTCCAGGAGATCCATAATCGTAACGAGGAAGCTTACAAACTTTTGGCATAGCTTCCATTAAAGTTTTAGTGAACTGATGTAAGCTTCCTTGAATTAACGACTTAACTATTTTTAAAAGTTCCTCCATAACTACTGCTATACCTTGATACCCTAATAATTTACACATAGTACGGAAATGATATGGCCCAACGAATCCAGAATACTGCCCATATTGGGTACTATATGCTAAATTTAATTGCTTGCTACCCCAGAGATAATGATGAGACATTTGTGGCGGTTTATCTCTATGTACTGGTTGTACAAATTGAAGACCACGGCACTTGACGAACCTTCAAACAAATTTTCAATGAATCCAAAAAATTAATCGTAATTAGTAAAGAAATAATTTAGAAGATTTATTTTACCTATTCGTTGCAGCATTGTAACAATAATTTGGTAAAAAGTCATAATTCAATTCCCAAAATACATGAAGTGTTATTCTTCCATATGGAGCAAGAACATTATGATTTGCTTCTCTGAACATAGCATCGTATTCATCAAGTGCAAGCCATTTGCTTAGTAGTTTATGAGTAAGCCGATTGACTTGTAGTAATCCTTCTAGTTCCTGCGTGTGTGTGTGTGTATATATATATATATATATATATATATATATATATATATATATATACACATATACATAGATATGCATACACGTAAGTACTTATTTTATAAAGTAAATATAAATCAAATGTAAATATAAATCCATGAACTTTAGCTTGTCACAAAAATAATAATTAAGGCGCAGTAATCTTTTCAACTTACCACTACTCCTGTAATATCTCCAGATTCAAATTTACTAATCGCTAAATCTAATGATTTTTGCATATCAGCATTGATACGTTGGGTGATTAGTTTATTTAAATCAATGCTTCTTCCCAATAATTGAACGTGTCGTTGTTTTAATAAAGTTTCATATCTATTAGCACGGGGATAAGAAAGTAAATATGCTCCTAAAGCTACGCATTCTACTCTAAATCGTTTATCTAATAAAATACTAGCAGCTAACTGTTTATAATGAGCGAAAATTTGTTCGCTTAATTTATAAACAAACTGATCGAAACATAAATTAACTTCAGCCTCGACTTCATCGTAAAGAAATTGTTTCCGAAATATTGTTAATGCATACAATGCACTATCATTGTAAAGATCCAAGGGATATAGAACATATCTAAAAGATATAAAAATGAAATGATTAATCAAGTATTTTGCATATCCAATTAATATGTTATAATATTTTTACATACTCCATCATTGATGGCTCCTTGCTTCTTAATATATGATCAGTCAATATCCAAGGCATGGACATTTCAATTGGAAACTATAATAAAGAATATAATTATAACGTTACCTTTAGCATAGGATATTAGGATAAGATAATATTATTTGTGATAGCAGATAAAATACTTGAATTCGTTTCTCCATTGTAATTAAATCGCTGCATTCCTCATTATGCTGATGACGTACTTGACATTTCTAATTATTAAAGAATAATTATATATTATGAGAACGTACGTCAAAAAAAAAAAAAAAAAAACGTTTAATTTTATATGCATATATATTTTATTTACCATTTGTAAATAAAAAATTATATGTTAAAATCTATTATAATTTTTCTCAAGTTCATTAAAATAATTGAAGAATAAACAATGTAAGCTAAACGATAAAGTCATTTAATATTAACTTAATTTATAAATAAACAATATATTCACCTGTATTTTTCGGCCCATAGTCATTTCTAAATAAAATTCTCTATACCATAATTGTGACAAGTCGCAACAATTTTGTAACGATTCTAGAAAGAAATATATAAATATTATTAAATTATTTTTTATACTTTACAAAATATACGTACCACTAAAATTCAAAAGATAACTCCAATAAAAACTGGTTTTATGAAACTGATCAATTTGTACAAGATATTGTCCATCAATATCTTTTCTTAATGTACGTTTTCCACCACTCTTATCAGCAATTAATGATTCCAACATAGTACGAACCATATAGAGTTGCGTTGAGGAAGGGCCTGTATGAAAATAATCAAGTAATTGAAGAAATTCAAGATATGATAATCATTACAATATTGATTATTATATTGATTTCAACTAACCAACATTCCTTCGTGGAACTTTAATACCAAATCCATTATCTGGATCTTTTTTTCCCTTTAAAGCAGGATCTCCTAATGGTTCAACTCCAAAATGCCAATCAGCGCAAGTTTCTCTCACAGAAACAATTATGCTAAAAGGAAAAAAATTTTTTATTTGCATTTGCTTACAATAACACTATGCTAATATAAAATACTGTTAAGTTAGTAAGTGATTATTATTCTTTAAAAACAGGATTAACAAATTGCAAACCTTCGAATAAGATCCTTTTTATTTTTTATAGCCTTTCTTAGGGGCTCACGTAAAGCAAGTTGTACAAAATCTTGTAACTCTGCATAAATATTCCGACGTATTGCATCAATAAATACTGTCTCCATGCGTGCCATTAATACTTGTAATCCTTTAATCATTGCAATGACTTCAATAAGGGCAAATTTTTCTTCATCGGTATAATTGTAGCGTGTGGCCTAATAGAAGATTTATTTTTTATTTTGATAATATTAAATCAAAAAGAAAGAAGAAAGATAAAACTTACTCTTTCATATTCTTCTGCTTCTTGAGGACACTCTTTATTCATATGATGATCCGTCGGATGAAGCAGTTTCCAACTATAAAGTTCTGTTACAACACTTGTCCATTGAGAAAGTAATTGTAATCCACGTAAAGCTAATTCTGCAGTGTCACGATTTTCCACGTCACTACCACATTCTTTGTAGGTCGTAGTTACTTCGTTACTATATCTACATCCATACAATGGAGGGAAAAAGAAAAGAAAATGAATACGCTAGGATTATTAAAACGAGAAATATACTTTAAAGAATGTTATGATTAAATGTATTATACCTTGCTAATTCGCTTATATATTTTACATGATCGTCTCTAATTTGAGGCAGATGAACCATAAGGTCAGCTTGTGGACTTATATTATTTGAGGAAGAAGAAAGTGGCCACTTAGAAGCATCAAAATGTTTTGAACGTTTAATATAATTAAACGGCGCAATCTGCATATCACCGAATAATGGTACTACTTCCAAATTTTTAAATATTCTATCAATTCTATCTAACTTCAGTTTTTTCTTTTGATCTAATTTGTTTATGTTGCACAATTCACTATCCATCAGGAATAAACCAAATCCCATAACTTTGACTAGCATATGTTTCTCGTTTGGAGTAAGATACATTTTAGTTTCAAACATATAAACACATATATTTACAACGTCAGCTAGTAACTCTTCATAACCTGGGATTTTTTCTAAATTCTCTTTTACAGTATCACGTATCTTGTTTTGTGTTGCCAAGAACATTGACAAATTTTGAGATTCTTGAAGCGTTTGAGAATCAGACATAACTTTTAGAAATTGCGCAGCTCTGTAAAAAAAATTTATATATATATATATATATATATATATATATATATATATATATATACACACACATGAATAAATAGGTGGAAAATTTATTTACCTCCTATACGTAGAGTAATCATTTTTGACGCTAGACTTCATATTTTTCAATTCATCCAAGACAGCAAACATATTTATGAACTTTCCCAAAGTCAGCAAATATGCTTCAGATACGAAATCTTTTCTTTTCTCATGATGACATAAACGCTTCACCTCTCCTGAAAATCTTTCTATAGCTTTCCGCTAAATAAAAATATTGTACATTTAGTAAATAGATCAGTCTTTTAGTAATAGAGATTAGAATTAAATATTTTGATAAATGGCATACTTGGAAATACATAAAATTTAACAATTTATTAACTTCAGGTGCAAGTACTTCTACTGTTTTTTCATAAATTTCAACTCTATTTGGTTGTTCGTTTGATTTTGGTTGTGGAATAGCACGTGAACAACATCTCCATGTGTATAACATAACGGCATGTTCTAATCCTTCTTCTAACAGTTCATTCTACAAAATATTGATTATTTTTTTTAATACAATTTGTTTTGTATTACTCTGAAAAATAAGTTAAAAAGTATATCATTCTTACCAAACTAGCATGAACAGTAGCCTCTTCAATATATTTGGCAATACCGGTAACAAAACCATTTCTATCTTCAAAATTGGTATCAAAATTTGCTTGGTAAACAACAGAACATGGTTGAGCTTCGATACAAGGCTGTTCATCTGGCAAAGTAAACTCGTCGAGTACGTCGACATTAGAAAGAGCATCACCCAAAGTTACTTTATCGGTAGCCATGATTTCTCTCTTATTATTAACAATAATTAAATCCTCATAGTCTTCGTAAAGTAAAATGTTTAATCAAACAATGATATTATAAGTATGAAATAAAATAAATTTATTCATTATTTTTGGATTATTTTATGCTGTAAACAACACATTTATATCAGAGCATAGCTTTTAAATTTTTTATTTATACACACGCGGGCGTACACATGCATGCATGCACGCACGCACGCACGCACACACACACTATATAATAATATCACCACAAAATAACGAAACTCGTAAGGAAACCTCGTTTAAATAGTTAAAAAAATTTGAGATACACAAATTGTGCATACAAAGATTTCCCCCATAGCACCGCCCAAATGGTGGGGATGAAAAAAGGGAGATGACTTTGGTTCGCACTATTTAATCAGTATCAATTCGAATCTTCTGGAATGTTTTAATTTCGATAAAAATTAACTAACTTTCTACATCTTCAAGTAAATTTACTTCACTGCAATCACAAATAATATAAAATATTTTTTGCATCGTTGAATATGTTAACAATTGTATTGCATGTAAAACATACACACCGTTTCACGTTTTTCATTATAGTACACACTGAAATGTCTTTCACAAGCCACACTTTCTATGTATCTATCAGATTTTATTTATAGATATGCCTGCATTTGATGCATCTGTGAGAAATATATTTGTGTAATAATTGAAATTTACTAACTCATTTTATTTTGTAATTTTAAATAAAAAAAATTCGTTTAGAAATGTCAATGAAAATATCTCGATCATTTCTTGAAATATAATTGGTTCTTATTTATTTTGGCCTATATTATGCAAAGAAATTGATTGGTCACACGTAAGTTTAAAGAATGAAAATAGCGATAAGATTGGCTAGATTCACTTACCTTAACAATAACGGTAAGATTTCGACCAGTCACGTTGCTCCATTTAGCCGATGTAAACAGTAGCCATAACAATAATTATAATAATAGGGATCGAAAAATTTTACCATTATGGCGCCTACGGACAGCCAATCGGATTGCGGCGAGGTCATTCGGCCTCGCAATATTTCAGCAGAATAAAATAATCAATTGTCTACATTATTGAGATTATTTAGGTGAATGTATGCGATGGTGTTAAAATACAGTAGTTTATGGCCAATATAAAAATGATAAAAAGTGTTGATGTGGCATGACCATATTGAACAATACTAGTAAAGTTGTCACTAGTGAAATTATATTTGTAGCATATTGGAGGTTATAATTATAATTTTTTTCATATCATTTTTCAATGATGTCACACGAGGCTATTATCAATTTTCTAACATTGAATTGTTGGCAAGTTTATGTTTATTATTATAATATGTCAAATAAAATAATGTTAGCAATTTGTGTCCTTTTTACTTGTTTGTAAAATCTGACATATTTGATTTTTCTTTAGGGGTATTCCGTATATTTCAAAAAATAGAAAAATTCGTATGGAAGCAATCGCCGAAAAGCTTTCTACTGAAGAATATGATATAATATCGTTACAAGAAGTTTGGTCTATTGATGATTTTAAAATGATTAGAACTAAAGTACAAGAAAAACTTCCGTATTCGCATTATTTCCATAGGTATATGACAAATATATTAGAATTAATAAATTTTCGTATTTGATCGTTCATATTTTCAATGTATAATATATGTTAACAAAGCACGTTAAAACTAGGTAGAATGAATATTTTGAAATCACTCTTTATAATTATCAATGCTTATTTTATAATTTCACTGTAAATATGCTTTATTTATTATTTTTAGCGGTGTTCTAGGATCTGGGGTTTGTATCTTCTCTAAATATTGTATTGAAGATGTAATGTTTCATAGGTGGCCTTTAAACGGCTATTTTCACAAAATACATCATGGTGATTGGTTTGGTGGTAAAGGTGTTGGCCTTTGTAAAATAAAAATTGAAGATATCAATGTCAATATTTATGCTGCACACGTAAGTCTTGTGTTTTCATTTTTTCCGAATTAATAAATGTATAATTTATATAAAATAGAAATGTTGTAAATGAAAACAAGATTAAGTTAAGAGAATATTTTTTTATGTGTGAATGTGAAATGATGCGAATCACAGTTACATGCAGAATATAATAAAGAACACGATGAGTACGCATCGCATAGAGTTTTGCAAGCATTTGATACAGCACAATTTATTAGAATGACAAGCGGTGGCTCAGATGCTGTGATATTAGGTGGTGATCTTAATGCCGAGCCACAAGATTTAGCTTATAGAATTATATGCGGCGTTGCTGGATTAGTAGATGCTTGCTCAAATAACTTCAGTAATATTGGGACCAATGAATGTGCCAAAAATAGCTATACAAGCACAAGAGTTGCAAGAAACTATCCGGAAGGGAAACGCATAGACCATATTTTATACTTATGTTCGCCAAATTTTAAGGTGTCTTATTATTATCTAATATATATTAATTTACTTGACAAATTATAACTTGTTATAATTTTCTTTTTATGTTTAGATTAACGTAACAAATTATCAACAACCTTTTCCTGAAAGAGTACCTAATAAAAATTGTAGTTATTCAGATCACGAGGCTATTATGGCAAGTTTGAAATTAACTAATGGTAAGTTGCAAACTTTAAAATGTAACAAACATGTAATGATCTATTAATTATATATATTTATATATATATATATATATATACATATGTTTGTGTGTGTGTGTGTTTTGATCTTAGGCATATATAAAATTGATAATATTGACATAAGAGAATCTTTACAAGAAGCAATTAGAATATGTGAATCTGCCATGATATCTGTACGTTATCAGTGTTTCTGGTATTTGCTAGCTGTTTTTTTACTTATTATACCAATAATTTGGTCAATGGGACTAGATTCTACTACTACATCCATAGGTATATGTATAGGTCTTAATATAGGCCGCTTATTTTTGACTGCATTACTGTGTTATGCTTTGTTTATGAGTATTATATGGAATAGAGTAGAAAGGAATGCTTTGAAAGCAGGTTGTTTAGCAATGAAGATTCATTTAATACAATTAACCAATAGATTGTCTAACTAAATGCATTTGCATACATATAAATGCGTTTGCAATTATATCTTAATACTTTTACTAATTCAAAGGCTGTACTAATGATATAATCAAAGAAAAATTAATATTAATATAAAATATATTTTATACAAGTACACCATTCAATCATCTTTGACAATAAATGAAAGTGTACATTTCTAAAATTGCAAATCTTACATTAATATGATAACTGTCACTTTCATTAGACTATTCGATAATATATCTTATTTTTTTTAGACATATTTGCCATATCGTTGCATTTTATTGATTTCATTCATGTATACCTGTTTGTATATATAAGAAATATCTTATATATAAATATGTATAAGAAAATCTACTACATGATTATTAAATCATCACATATAACAACTTTAACTTGACTACATTCATCTGTCTTTGCTCTATTTCACGTCATAATAATCTTATAAATCTGGATATATTATCTGATGGGCAATGTATCAATTAAGAATAAATTTTTGATATATATTTATTTCAATTAAAAAAATTTGTATCTTTCATCATATTGTATAAATGCATTAACATTTACAAATTTAGTATTCATATGATTATAGGATATAAGAAAGTTTTAATAAATATATAAATAATAGTTATATTAGGTAGTCGGCGATCTAGTAATAAAGACCCTTATAAAAAAATAAACATGTTTTTATATTTATATTTATATATATTTTGTCTCTTTGACAATCATTTATAGTACTTATTGATAATACATTATGATATTTCATTTGATGTACATGATAAATATTATGATTCGTAAAAGCATAATAGAATAACAATTACAACTTATATTTGTTTACTTCATATCACATTATGATTATTGCTATATACTATGTTGTATATTATATAATACAGCAATTCAAATAATCTTGAGAAAAAAAGACTATTGTTTCAAGAAATTTCTAAAAATGTGTGTGTGTGTGTGTGTGTGTGTGTGTGTGGGCGCCCGCGAACGTGTACAGGGTGTCCCAAAACTCATAATTGATCTTTAAGAAAATCAAAAAAGATAAAATTTGGGAATGATAGTAATTTTGTCACCTTTCTATTCGGTTATTCTTCAATGATAGTAAGTTATTTAACAATTAAGTCGACCAATCCTATGCGCGCTACAACACAGCATTATTTGATTAAATTGATCGAACAAGGAGTATACGAAGTAAAATCAAAGTACACGATTCATTGTTGCCTTCGAGATGCTGATAGCTCTTGCGAATTTCTAACAGCTCGTTGTCCACCACTCGAGCCAGCATATCTTCCTCTATTCTCAGATTATTAATACTTCGGGACTTTACCTCCAATACCTTATAGCTATTAGGCAATTTTCAGTTGGCATATAAATATCTAATCGCGTAAATGCCTGTAGATATGGGCAACGACGATTCGGATACCGTAATGCATTATCTTTACCGTAGTGCATAATTAGGTAAATAATGACCGAAGAAAAAAGTGACAAAAGAAACTTCTTCTATCTCTAAATTTTTCCCTTTCAATCTCTTAAAGATTAATTATCAGTTTTGGGATAGCCTATATATATATATATATGTATGTATTGGTGCAATATCTTCAGTAAAAATTTACTTATATATATTAGATATATTATTAATTCTATTATAGATTCGTGTATGCATTATATTTTCTATATGTAACTTTATATACAGCATAATTACTTGGAGAGATAGAGAGAGAGAGAGAGAGAGAGAGAGAGAGAGAAAAGTTTTTCTAATAAATAAGTGTACGTTTACATACAAATGTATAATTATAATTGACTATGTACTGTAAGGAAGTTTCCCTTCTGTTCAGTGTGATAGAAGTAATTAATTTAGTTTTTTGTATAAAATGATATTATCGGGATAACAATTTCGCTTAGACTTTCCAATGCACATGCTTTCACTTTCTATTACTTATTTTAGATGACACCTTAGCGACACCTCGATCATCATTTTTCTTTTCTGCGATTGCCAAAATATCGCTCAAATCATGCACACAGATGCACACACACTAAGGAATATGATTCATATATTAAACCATACAATACGTTGTACCCAAAAAAAGATATAGTCACGATTATGCATTTCACATATGATATCAGTTTGGTTGAAAATCTTATCCGCTATATATAAATCTACATGCGGCGGTCAGATATGTGTGCATATGGAATGTAAATATGATTTCATGCGACACAGGCACTCTTTGGTTACTTTAACTTCAGGGTAACTGTTCAACATAATTTTTTGGAACTAGTCCTGTTTTCCCATTCAAGGTGCCTTCTAACCATCCAGGCTCTAACGAAGCTTTAACTGTAATCAATTAAGTTTATTAATAATTGAATTCAACAAATAACAAAGATATATTATGAGAGGAATAATTTTTATTTAAAAAAAAAAAAATGTTACCGTTTGTAATAATTTGATTTGGTTCAAATGATAATTCCCCATCGCCTTCAGCCAAACAGGCATATAATGTCCGTACTCTCCTAAAAAAAATAATAATAATTAATAAATTAAAATAATTAAAATATATTGCAATATATTAAATACTCATTTAAAATTATATACCAGATCCCAGGCATTTGGCCAGGACTCGAACGACCACTACTTGGAGATGTATTGGTGCTGACAAAATTATAATTTTTAATATTTTTCTATCACACTACTAGATGTTTTTTTTTCTTTCTTTCTTTCTTTCTTTCTTTCTTTCTTTCTTTCTCCCGAAACAACAATTTACTTACATAGATATTGTGGGATTACTTCGTGGATAATTAGCAGGATAATGCGTTGACATAGCAGTTCCACGCTTTTGTTTGACTGGTATATTTGTTGTAAATGGATGTGGATCTGATGCAATTGACTCACTTGAACTGCTTGTGTTACCACTGGTAAGCACTGAAATAATTATAAAAATGTCACACATCAATTATTATAGTAAATAATATAAAATATTTCGTAAAATATATAATTTGAATGTAACCTTTATCCGCTGAATGGTACATAAGATTCGAATTGGTTAATTTAACTCGTCCACTTCGATTTTCTATAAATGCAGGAATACGATGACTACTTGGATCAATGTCCTCGTAATCACCATTTTTTCTATCATCTATAGAAGGTGACTTAGTCGTAATTGTTAAGGGCCCATCGTAATAAGATCTTGTAACATGCTAAGTAAATAATCATAAATTAATATATAGATATCTTCCATTATCTTTAAAAGTTGATTGTGTGAAAATGAGCTTACATGTGTATGTGGTATCGAAACAGAACTATGCACTGGGTATCTTAACAAAGAATTTCCGTTTCCGGAAGTAGTAGGACCCTCATCTGCTTCGGTCATTACTGTAGGTGTAACCATGCTTTGTATCATTTGTGTTGTGCGTAAAATATCTTGTGGAGGACCGGCAATTATAACTTCACAGTTTTCTATTAATATCTCTACTACAATATTGTAAAATTTAATATCCATTATAGAGGCCACTGTTTCTTCCTCTGGCCTCAATAATGTCGGGCCAAAGCAGACAGCTAGATTACCAACCGTCATTAAATTTTTATCACTTTTATTTGCTACACTGTAAGATAAAATTGATAAAAATGAAAAATAAATCATAATGAAGTATAGGGCTTAATTAAAAATCAATCTATTTACTTGTGTAAATGAGGTATAAGCAAAGTCAGCATATTGAAGTTTGTCTTTGGTAGCCGATAGATAAGACCATGTATTTCATTTATTCGTGTTTCTTTCACTTCGTGTTCTATTAGGCAGATTAAACAATATATTCTATCTTACTAAGATAATATATCAAGTGCATTTACGTAAGAAAAGCAATATGTTAGTGAATTTATCTTTAATCAAAGAAACATAGCACTACTAAATTGAAGTGCAAATAAAATAACATGATAAAGAATACCTATACGCACTCGCAGCTGAAATGAAACTGTTATAGTATCGGAAAGTCATCAATGGTTCGGAAAGAGTTCGTAAATATGTTTTTAATGCACTGGTTATAGTTTTACTTTCCCATTCAAAACGATCTTCTAAAGAAAGTTTTTCTAATTTTCTTCTGTCGAGACCCATAGCTAAGAGTTTGTTTACTTTAGAGGCAACACCAACGACTCGATATAGACCTTGTTCTTCTAGACCTGAACAAAAATTGCCCTTACTCATAAATTATTAAGATCATGTATGTGATATTATATATATATATATATATATATATATATATGTATTTATGTATTTATTTATAATATTAATTTCAATCAATATTAATTCAATTGTAAGAAAATATGAAAAAGATTCTACCTCTGTCTTCCAGGACTGTAATACATTTAGATACAAACATGAATCCTGTTTCGTCCAAAATATTTTCTTCTGTTTTAACTGACGTTCCTACTAAAGGATAACTCTAAAAGTGTTAAAAATTTTATATGCGAATTTATTATCTCAAGTTATCCTTAATTATCTATCAGAAGATTATTTTGCTTAGACTTACTGGTTCTTTGCCATCCATCGCATCCATCCATAATTTTCTATCTTCTTCGGATAATGCTTGAAATGTATATGTTACATTAGGCCTAAAAATAAAAGTCTTATGATATACTTTTCTTCGTCTTTATAAAATCAAAATAACATTAAATCACTTACTTATCGATAGCTGTGATATCAAAACAAAAGCGCTTTTCAATTGTATCCGACATACGCCTTATACATGATGCCAGTGTGAGAGTTTCTTTACTACTCTGTTTAACATGGTACGATAATAATTCATTAAATATTTTATAGTGTATAAATCTTCATATTGCTAAAAAATATTACTTACAAATTTGCCTGTAAGTTGATTGTATGGGATCATTGTAAATTCTTTTGTATCCTTCTGATATGTACAATATTGTTTCGTCCATGTTGTACCAAAAGCCTCTGAAATAATATTTAAAAATATTATTACAAAAAAAAAATATATATATATATATGTGTGTGTGTGTATGTGTATAGACATTATTCGTTATACATGATAAAATGTTCAGTAATGTTTATGCGAGTTATAGAAATAAAAAAATTTACTTTTTTCCATTAGAAATAAATATCCTTCACGAGAATGCAGTTTGTTCAATCCTGTCTCCACTGCGGACTATAAGAAACAAATAATATAATAAATGTACGCTATGCTGCTTCTTATGTAGATTATCTCTCATCTATTTCAATTGGTTGGTAATATGTAATTTTATCGTCAATACGTCATTTATCATGCACGTTTAGAAAAATATAATCCCAAATCCATAATAAAATTGCTTCCAATACAAAGCTTGTAATATTGAACGTTTTAATAACAAAGAACACACATACCTTTTTCATATCCTTCATTTTATTCATAAGTGACTCGGTTTTATCCCGGGTGGCAAGAAAATTCTCTCTAGTCTTGTAAAAATACGCACACATAAAGTAAAAATTAGTGGGCAATTCTTCATGCTGTTATCCTAATTATATTCGGAACATGTAATGTCAAATAAAAACAAACTGCAAAAACTAATGAAATATAACCAACATTAGTGCATCATATTAATTTGCTTCGCATTATATATTATTGATAAACGTTGATTTAAAATGATATATTTAAAGAGCAATGACATGCTGATGTAACGAATACATATTTGTAAGATTTGCATATACCACACCAATAACTACTACATGTTAAATATTATGTTAGTGCTCTTAAAGCACATTTTCTGTTTTAATAGTTATTTTTAAATAGTAATATTACAATACATACAATAAAATCACTCTTATTAAAATGCATAAGATTAATAAAGTTGCAAGTATTTTAAACAAAAAATGCGGCAATAATACTACGTTATTATTCAAATAATAAATTTTTTATGAATAAATAAATAAATAAATAAATAAATAAATAAATAAATAAATAAATGTATGTATATATTTAAAATTTATAAAAAAATATATATAAATATGATAAAGATAACAAACCTTTTGTATCTTTAACTGTAATTCGGTCATGTATGGTTTAAAATCCTTTGCTACCTCGTGACCTTGGTGGTAGAACGTTAACCAACCAAACATAAAACTTAGTAACTGCAATATATTTATAAGTATATGTTAAACGATAAAAAAATAAATAAAGCTTATATAATAATATTAATTATTATACACACTGTTTCAACAAATTCAAATTTCTTCCGTTCTTGAACCTCTTGCAACAAGAACACATATTCTAAACTAGCTTGGCAAAAATGTCTTTTGGCCATTTCCAACGTTGCATCCGCCTAAAATTTATATATATATATATATATATACATATACATATACATATACATGATTTTTGCATACAATGATTTTTGCATATACCTCTTGAAGAACATTGTCCTGCTTTTTTGTTGATAGATTTAGATAACGTTCTTGACTTTGACAAAACTTAATAGTCTGTTTTTCAAACTTTTTCTTCCCGTCCTATAAAGCAAAGAAAAGTTACAGAAATTGAAGTAATATATATGTGTATCCTTCTTTTATAAGTGTCAGAAATAAAAATAATGAAAAATTATGATAAATAGAAACAAAAAAATATCTACCTTAACACCACCAATATGTTCCTTTCTAAAGTTTTCCAAAGGAAGTATAATTTGATCATAAGCGCGTTCAAGCTGAAAAAATAATATTGCCAAAAACAAATTATAAATTCATCAAAAGCAACATAAATTAAGATAAATAATACAAGT